AAAGCTTTTATATTATAGAACCTTGGCTGGGAAGATCAAAATCATGTGGAATGAGATGAGGTACTTATCATCCCCTTTGTCCTGTCTGCTACTGGAGTTTTATCAAGGATGCTTTCAGTGAGACTACAGAGTATAAATTTATGTCCTAATACCTTGATTTAACATAGAAAGTCATTTTATCAACCTCTGCGATAGTTGACAGAACATGGAACATAAGGGAATAACAATGTGGAGAAACTTGTCCTGGGATTGTTTCTAGACATTCATTGAACAAGATGAATAAAACAAGACAGTCCTAACAACAACAATTACTTATGTTCACCTGATGTCTCATAGTTGGAAACATGTTTTTAAATAATTCTCTCTCATGAGAGTGTTACTGTAATCCTATAATCAATCAGTAATCAATCAAGAAACATTTATTAAGCACCTACTCTGTGTCAAGCACTATGTAAAAACTCTGGGAATACAAAAAGAGGCAAAAGACAGTTCTTGCTCTCAAGGGGCTTACAATCTAATGGGGGAGACAACTTGCGAATACATATGTACAAGTCAAGCTATGTATAAGATAAATAGGACATAATTAACAGAAAGAATTAAGAGGGGCTGCAGAAGGCTTCATAAAGAAGGAAGATTTTAGTTGGGACTTAAAGGAAGCCAGAGAAGTCAGTACAGAGAAGAGGAGGGGGAGCATTCCAAGAATCAGGGACAACCAGAGAGAATGCCCAGAGCTGACAACGTCTTACTCATGGAACTGACAGAAGACCAGCATGGCTGGATCAAAGATTATGTGTTGGGGACTGAGGTGTGAGAAGGCTGAAAAGGTAGAAGGGGGCTAAGTTATGAAGGACTCTGAAAGCCAAACAGAGGATTTCATATTTGCTTCTGGAGGCAATAGGAAACCATTGGAGTTTACTGAGTAGGCACAGAGGGTAATATGCTTAAGACATTTTAGGAAAATTACTTTAGTGGCTGAATGGAGGGTAGATTGAAACAATGAGAGACTTGAGGCAGGCACATGCAACAGGAAATTATCGCAATAATCTAGGTGTTAGGTGATGAGGGCCTGCACTAGAGTAATGGCAATGTCAGAGGACAGAAGGGGGCATGTTTGAGAGATGTTGCAAAGGTGATATTGACAGTCCTGGCAACAGCTTGGATATGGCAGGGTGAAAGATAGTGAGGGATTCAGGATGATTCCTATGTTGAGAGCCTGAGGGACTGGGAGGATGGTGCTGCTTTCTGTTGTTTGTTCTTTGTACTCAAAGAGGACCAAGGACATCGTGATGTTGAGGTCAAAGGTACAATGTGTTCAACTATGGTTGATCATTCAATAAGAGCTTGGAAGGCTCTACTACAGGTTGGGCACAAATAGTCCTTTTGAACATTTAGGATGGAGATTTCTCTAGATTTGCACATTTCATGTTTCTTTTGTGCTACTGCAATTCTGCTTTGCTTATGGAATTTATATGTGTGCATACACACATGCATATACATATATATGTATATATACATATATGTAGATGCATACATGTGTATATATTTATACACACAGAGAGATGAGTCACACTCACATATCTGTATCTATATATTCATATGATAAATTAGAGATAATCTCAGAGGGAAGTTACTAACATAAGGAAGACTGGGAAAAGTGTCTTACAGACGGTGGGATTTTAGCTGAGACTTGAAAGAAGCCAAGGAAGTCAGGAGATGGAGGTGAGGCATGAGAGAATTTGAGGAATGGGGGTTGGTTGTTGTCCTTCATTCTCAAAGAGGACGAAAACACCATTATTATGTTGTAGTCGAGGTACAGTGTGTCCCGCTGTGGCTGATCAGACCAATATGAGTTCGGAAGGCTCTACCATAGGTCAAGCAGGAGTCGGGCATAAATAGTCTGTACGAGAATGGGGGAGAGCTAGTCAAAATGCATGGAGGTTCAAACAGATAAGTGATATGAAAAGTATGAGGAAAGAAAGATACATTTTGAACTATGGAGATCACAAAAGAATTCATGGAAGAGGAGGTATTTAAATTAAATCCTAAAATGGTAAAATTTCAACAGAAAATAAAATTGAGATGATATTCTATGGCTTGAGTATAGATAGAGGAAGAACATGTGATGGCTCTGAAGGGTATAAAGTACACAAAGTAATATAGTATGACTAGACAATGGAGTATTTTATGCAGAATGTGTGAGAAGATGTTGGAGAGTTCATATACTGTCAGTTTCTGATGCACCTTGAATGTCAGGATGGGAAGTTTACAATCTTTGTGGGTATTTTCGGCAATGACCTGATCTGTCACTTGATCTCTGAATAAATATAGGGGTAGGTGAGGCAGCTAAGTGGCACAGTGGATAGAGCACCAGCCTTGGAGTCAGGAGGACCTGAGTTCCAATCAAGCCTCAGACTAAACACTTGACATTTACTAGCTATATGATGCTGGGCAAGTCACTTAACCCCAATTTCCAAAAAAATAAATAAATAAAAATAAAGATGGGGTAGGCACTGATCTTGTGATTTCATTGTTATAAGGAGCTCCCAGTGAATAATGTCTTCCAGTGGTTGTCAGTGAAGAGATGATAAGTACCTTACCCAGGGTCACTCAATCAACATGTGTAAGGTGGGACTTGGATCCAGGTCAGCTCTTTCCACTATTCCACAACTTATGCATAAGAATGTAATTTTATAACAGCATAAAAGATAAAGCTCAACATTTGAAAATATACACTTCATACATGAGTTCTGCTGCCTTTTAATGGTGATAATGATAATGATGATAATAATAATAATAGCATTTATATGGCACTTTAAGTTTCCAAATAACTTTACAAATATTATCTCATTTTATCCTCACATCAAGGATTGTTATATCAATGTTGCTGCTGAAAGTGTTATTATTGTCCCCTATTTTACAGTTGAGGAAACAGAGACAGACAGAGTGAAAGTGACTTGTCCAGGGTCACATAGCTAATAAGTGTCTGAGGCTGAATTTTAACTCAGGTCTTTCTAACTCCAGGTCTAGAACTTGATTCACTGATAATAGTTATGGCACCATACCCTTTGACCCAGCAACAGCACTTCTAGGGCTGTATCTCAAAGAGATCATACAAATGGAAAAGGACTCACATGTACAAAAATATTCATAGCAGTTCTTTTTGTGATGGCAAAGAATTGGAAATTGAAGGTGTGCCCACCAATTGGGAAATGGATGAACAAGTTGTGGTATATGAATGTAATGGAATACTATTGTGCTATAAAAAATGATGAGCAGGCAGACTTCAGAAAAACCTGGAAAGATTTGTATGGTCTGTTGCTGAGGGAAGTGAGCAGAACCAGGAGAACATTGTACACAGTAACAGCCACATTGTGTGATGACTAATATTAATAGACTTAACCCTTCTCAGCAATGCAAGGATCTAAGACATCTCCAAAAGTCTCACAGTGGAAAATGCTATCCATATCCAAAGAAAGAACTATGGAGTTTGAGTGCAGATGGAAGCATACTATTTGCTATTTTTTTTCTTCTCTTGTGTTTTGTTTCCCCTTTCTGGTGGTTCCTCCTAATGGTTCTAATTCTTACTCACAACATCACTAATGTGAAAATATGTTTGATAGGAATGTATGTATATAGTCTATATCAGATTGTATGCCATCTTGGGGAGGAAGGTGGTGAGGGACGGGGAGAAAAATTTAAAACTCAAAAGCTTATAGAAGTGATTGTTGATAAATAAAAATAAACTAATAAATAAATAAAAAATAGTTATAGCACCTTCAGCAGCAGCATTGAAAAGCACTTTTCTTCTTGTTCAGTCATTCAGTCACAACTCTTTGTGACCCCACAGACCATAAAATGCCAGACCCTTCTTCCCTCCACTATCTCTCAAAATCTGAGTTCATAACCATTGTTTCCATGACACACTCTCTCTTTCTCATCCTCTACACTCCCCTTCTCCTTTTGCAATCAATTTTTCCCAATGTCAGGGTTATTTTCCAATGAGTCCCATCTTCTCATTATGTGTCCAAAATATTTAGACTTCAGTTTCAGTATTTGACCTTCCAATGAATAGCCTGAATTAATTTCTTTAAGTATTTACTCATTTGATCTCCTTGCTGTTCAAGAGATTCTCAAAAGTCATCCCCAACACCACAATGTGAAAGTGTCAGTTCTAAGGTACTCTATCCCCTGTGTCACCTAGCTGCCCTAAAAGCACTCACTTTGTAAGTATTTGCCTATGAGGTCACAGAGGTCAAGGAGTAGTTCCTTTCAGAATTATAATGGTTCTATCAGTTCAGGTCTAAAGCACTGAGACTAAGCCATTCATTTTATTTTAAGTGACTTGGTTTTGCCACATTAGACTTGCATTGATAAAACTATTTGATTCATATAATAGAACTTGGCTTCAAATAATATTTCTCTTCCATTTTTTGACCATTTAATAGCTGAAATAATATATTTCCAGTTATATTCTTTCTTTGACTTTTGCTTTGCCCAATATCTAAAAAACCAACTATATAACTTTGAGCAATAATACTTATAGCAACATAGTTTGGAAGCCAGGAACAGTAAATTTTACTAATGAGATCTCTCTCCCTCCCTTTGACCTGCATTTTGATAGGAAATGCCTGTTCTTCTAGATAGCTCCACTCCCAAAAGAGTGCAAAATCTTGGTTTTTAAGGGGTTCAGACATCAAAAACAGGATGAAGAAATGTTTTCAACACCATGGCAGTGGGACTGGACTTGGGAGACAGTGCTAAGTTCTCAAGCAAATACGGTTTTCCAGGGTGCCAGGAGGGCTTTTTGATCTCCTCCAAGTCTTTGATTGCTTTCACTATCTCTTTAATTTCTTGTGGGGAGGGAAGAAGGCATCTTCTGACAGTGAAAGAGAATTTGTCCAGGATTTTGACACAGTAAATTCATTTTAATTCAAAACTCTGAAGAATGAAAGAAGTGGTATGTGGTCTTGAAATTTACATTGACATTTGTTTTCTTCCAGCTCTCAGCATTAGAGAGGCAGATCTTTGACTTCCTTGGCTTCCAGTGGGCACCAATTCTTGGAAATTTTCTACACATAATAGTTGTCATCTTGGGCTTGTTTGGAACCATTCAGTTTAGACCTCGATATATAGTGGTGGTAAGTCTCTTACTTTTATCATTCCCTTAATTTGCACAGAGAGGCAAGGTTATGTATCAAATAGAGAGCTGGCCTCTGAGATGGAAAGATCAAACTTTCCTTCTAACTGTGATCACAAGCAAGTCACTTAATTTTTCAGTTGCTCAAGCAATTCTCTAAGACCACTTTACAGTTAGTTCTTGTCTGCAATATTAGGAGTTCCTTATACTAATGAATCACTGGGTCCAGTATATAAACTTTCCAATTAAGATGTAATTCCTCCTCTTAAACTGCTTCAGGGAAATGATAAGGTCCTACCTTCTGAGTTCAAAAAAAACCTCTCCATATCATCATCTACTTAGCCTCATGTTCCATGTGAGGGAATGAAGGCCTAGAGAAGATATGTACCTTGCCTAAGGGAATTACAGGATATGAATTGAAGTCCCTGGTGCCAAATCCATTGAATAAAAGTATTTCAGTAATTCCTTTAAATGTTTTGTTGGCTCTATAGATGACTCCCTTATAAAACTGTAATCTGAGAGAAAAGAAAATGTGTATAAACATATTTTCCATTTTACATGACAAGACAGATTATATATTAATTGCATTAATATGTACATGGTGAATGTAGTTTGACATTAAGCATAACTTAATGCATGGTCTAACAAGACATTTTTATGACAGAAATACAACTATAGTCTGCTAACTATGACATTCATATTGTCACAGAGAAAGTCAATACCATTTTAGTTATAAAATAAATGAAAAATTATGATAAACTCAAAAAACTAGCCACATTACTTCTTGTGTGGCTTTAGGAAAATTACTTCTCCTCTGTGCCTCAGTTTCTTTATCTGTAAAGTGACAGTGTTGTACTCTAAGGCCTTTGAGATCTCTTCTAACTTTAGATATCATATCCCTAAGATGTTCTTTCCTACAATTGGGAGATTTTGGCTCCTTTCTTTTCTGCAATTACCTCAACATTTCCCTTATATTTCCTTTAAAAAGAATTGGTACAGAAATCACAAATGTGTAACTCATTGGTTGCTTACATAGTTAGCTAAGTGGTGGAGTGGATAGAGTGTTGATCTTGGAGTCAAAAAAACCTGAGTTCAAATCTTTCCTCAAATTCTTACTAGGTGTCATCCTGGGCACATCACGTAACATTTTTAATCTCAGTTTCTATAAAATGGGATAATAATACCCCAACTGGTTGTTTTAAGGATCAAATGAGATGAGATATATATATATATATATATATATATATATATATATATATATATATATATATATATATGTAACTTAGCAAGCTTAAAGCACAATGTAAATGCTAGCTATTATTAAGCCCCTAATGACCTTCATCCTGTTTTTTACTTAACATTTTTTTCATGTTTTCAAGATCATTTTGAATTTAAACCTATTCTCAAAGATTATATTATGCTTCCTTAATTTGATGGACATGTGCTTGACTTTTATTAATTTTTTAAAATGCAATGGGAATATTTTCAGCTTCATTCTCTAGAGAACGGTCCTCTATGTGCCTCATTTTTCCCATTTAAAAATTGGGTACAATAATATCAACCACCTTGTGAAGTAGTTGTGAGAAATAACAAACCATATATAAATTACAACATACTAGAATGATAACAATATGCATTAAAATTACTCAATAGAATGAAATATAATAATTCATGTGATTGTGCAGTCACTGCACACTCTATTAATTTTATCTGTAAAATTTCTGATTCTCATTTTATATTTTCAAATAAGACTGGAGGAAGAATTCTAGGTTTGTAATCAAAGAAACCAGGTTCAATAGAGCTGTGCCATAAGTATTGTGTAGCTGGCAAATCACTTAACATTTCTGAGTCTCAGTTTCTTCATCTATACCATGACAGGGTTGGATTAATTGACCTCTGAGTCCCTTCAGGGTCTAAATCAATGACCTGTGAATGAAGGTACAACACTGCTATCATTTGTAGCTCTCAACAATAGTCTTTGGAATTTTGTATTATGTCACTGAGATGAAAGTAAGTGGAAGTAGGGAATCTGTGACAACTGTCTCTAGAATAGGGGTGAATAATCAAGGCACCCTCTAGAGCAGGAATTCTCAACTTGTTTTCTTTCATTGACTCCTTTGGGAATCTGGTAAAGCCTATGCACCCTTTATCAGAATAATGTTGTTAACTATATTCATAATTGAAGAAAATGTTTAAATTTAAGCTAGAGGTTAGTGAAATAAAGACGTAATATTTTCTCATTACAGTCACTGAAATCTATCCATGGACCTTTGCGAGGTCTGGGGAATCTAGATTAAGAACCCTTGATCTAGACCAGAGGTAGGGAGCCTTCAGCCTTGGGGCCCCATGTGGCCCTCTAGGTCTTCAAATCCCCTTAATAAAAGGATTTGTTCTGTGAAGTTTGGATTCAGTCAAAGGGCCACACTTGAGGACCTAGAGGACTACATGTGGCTTCAAGGCTACAGGTTCCACACCACTGATCTAGACTCTAGGGTCTGTTTCTTATCTATAGAGGGTCATATATTTTTAGGTTAGAATCATCAATACCAGTTTTTGACTTATTGTCATATAGTGCTAAAAGACTTAGCTCTTTTAAATAATGGCTAACTGAATTTACGAGATGAAATAATAAATCCTTATTATGACAATTCATTCTTTTAAAACAATGCTCAAAAGAATTGTATGAATATTGATTAAACAATAATTACTAAATATCCAGTATACTCTCAGGCATATTTTGGAATTTGATGGCGTTTACTTTGATTCAGAAGTCTCTGGTTCTCCAGTCACTATGAATGAGATGTTATTTGAAAAGCACTTAGCATAGTGCCTGGCACACAGGTCAGTACTTAATAAATGCTTATCCCCCCCCCGCCCCACTATGGGCCTCTAGCTCTACAGAGCTCAAGATATATGAGAGCCAATTGTGATATGTTTCTCTTCTGTAGGTAAAGGAAGAGCAGAGGCTTTCCTGATTCTCATCCTTCTCTAAAGCCTGGTTTTTGTTTTTGCTTTTGTTTTTATATTTCCATTAAACCTACCATTCTCCCCTTTTTTTCTGCTATTGCTTCCGTCTATGGCTAAAATGAAAAACAAAGAAAACTCAGATAGTTAATAATTTCTAGGCATGACTACAGTGTGTGATCCTTAGGCAGTGATGAGAACTGGCATATCCAATTCTCTTTATCTTCATTGCTATTACTTTAAACATTTAACTATATCTCTTTCCTCTAACAAGGAAGGATTATTTAGCACCTAATAAAGCTCTTTATTGAAGGGGGAGCTTCAACAGTATTTACTTTTCTTTTTGTGTGAAGAAGGAGCTCTTAAAGGAGTTCTGCCTATTGCCTCCAACCCTCGCAGAGATTCTCGACTTTAGTATGGACTATAGTAATTTTTAAATGTAATGCATAACACTATATAATTTCCTCATAACTTCTAAGGCCAGTGTTTATCAAATTTACTAATGGCTGTTTGAAAAAAAATTATGAAAGTCAGGTGTATATCTATATGGATAAGTTATTTTTTTTAACTGTCACCTCAAAAGAAAAATAAATATGGAACTGCTAGTTTGACAAAATATAATAAAATGGAGGAGGTGGCATCAATTTTCATTATTAAGAGCAAGACATAAGAAGACAAGATTGCTTCTTCCTAAATAGTATCTACCATATTGAATACTACCTAAATAGTGTCTACCATATTGTTTCTACCTAAATAGTATTTAAATTTGCTGTTTTCTGGGACTGAATTCTTTATCATTTACATTAAGCCTCCTATTGCTGTGATACTTCTAACCTATATAAGCAAAAAGAACCAATCAAGGTGAGAGGAGACAGGTGAAAATTCACCCATAAGAAAGAAAGTTGGCATCTGGAAAGGAACAGTGACCTAAAAACTGGTAGTGTCATTTGTTAGCTGTGTAATAACTGGCAAGTGTTTTGTACACAATCATGACTTGTAATTGGTATAGTGCCTTCTTAGTTTGAAGGAAAACTTAAAGTGGGGCTCTTCCATTCACACTTGGGAGTCTCACCCATGGAGTGGACACACTGCTCTCTAATGCTGAATCGAGACTGAACCAATGTGTACAGAACACTTATACTTACCTATCTCACATGGTTCTTTGTAAGGAAAGGCTCTACAGAGCTATATGAATAGGAGCTAATATTATTCTTCATATAATTACTTCTGGTTTTATCATTATATAATTATTCAGATTTAAGTATATTCACTAAGTTACACTCTTACCACTTACTGATTGAAGTAAATATTACATATATGTATATATGTATATATGTATATATATGTATATATATATATATATGTATATATATATATACACACACACATATTTAATAGTGAAAATATTGTATACTTTATAGTTACTATTAAAAATCTAAAGTCCTTAAGATCATAGATTGAGTTGAAAAGGAACCGAAAAGGTCATTCAGTCCAATCAACTCATTTTACAGATTAATAAATGGAGGCCTAGAATCATTTGGTCATGCAAATAGTGAAGGACAGAGCTGAGACAGAAAATGTTGATTCATAATTCAGGAATCATTTCTCTACCATGCTGGATGAGCCTCTAGGCTGAAAAAGTAAACAAACAAAAAACTGATGCAGGATGTTCCCATAGTAATAAGTTTGAATTTCTGTGAATAATCACTAACAAAGAATGATTTGAATACTTGAATTTGTATGAGCTACTGCTCATACTAAAGGATAACAAGCATTTTCTAGGCCTTGAATATGTACATAATATGTATATAAATGAGCATATGCAAAATAAATAATTAAGGGTTTTAAAAACAATGAGTCAGTGAGTTGTTAGAAAGGGTCTACAATTCATCAGCTTTTAAAATAATAGTCACATTCACAAACTGCCAAATCAGATCATAAAAATTAAGGGCAAAGTTATTTTAAAAGAGATTTTAAGGAATTCAAAGGTTATTAAAAGAAAAGGGAGTAACTCAGGCTAATCACACCTTACATGTGACAAAGAAGAAAATCATTTCATGCAAACCAGTAACATTTTATTCTAAACTAGAAGATATTTAGGAATTAATTTATTATGACCAAGATTATAGCCTAGTGATGCTTTAATTATGTTAATTGATCAATCCAAAAATCAATAGCATTTATTAAATACCTACTATGTGCCAGATATCATATTTGGTACTAAGAATGCCAAGATGAAAATGAAAGTGTCCCTGCAATTGAGCAGCTTGCATTCAATGGGTGAGTGAACGTATATAAGTTTGTTTAATCATTTCAGTCATGTCCAACTCTTCATGATGCATCTGGGGTTTTCTTGGCAAAGATACTAGAGTGGTTTGCCATTTCCTTGTCCAGCTTATTTTGCAGGTAAGGAAACTGAGGCAAATAAGGTTAAGTAACTTGCCTAGGGTCACACAGCTAGTAAGTGTCTGAGGCCAGATTTGAACTCAGGAGGATGAGTCTTCCTGACTCCAGGCCTGGCACTATCCACTGTACAGCCAAGCTGTCCATATAGAAGTATAGACAAGGTATATTCAAAATAAATACAAGGAAATGGGGACAATGGTACTATGAGCTGGGATCTGTAGAAGGTAGAGCTTGAGCTGAGATTTAAAGTAAATTAAGGCTTCAAGGAGGTAGAGAGCATTCCCTGGAAAAGGGGACAGCTGGCGCTAGGGTGTGGAGTTAGGAGAGTTATATGTACAATAGAGCAAGAAAGAATATTTGGTGAGATGATATGTACATAAATGACCATATCTAAAATAAAATTAAGTACAAGCTAATTTGGAAGGGAAGATACTAGCCCCGGGAGTAATTAGGAAAGGAACTGTAGAAGGTGACACAGGATTCCTTTGAAGGAAGCTGGAGGTTTTAAAATGTGGGATGAGTAAAGAATGAATCCCAAGTTTGGAGAGAGCAAAACTGCTCTTCCTATACAGAGACACAGGAGACAAAGTATCATTTGTCATCAACAATGCCAATTTGGCTGAATCATATAGATTATGAAGGAGAATAATATATAAGACTAGAATAATAGAGCAGGAATAGGTTATAAATGCTTTTAAGTTGAATGCAAAAAAGTCTGTATTTGACCCCTAGAAGTATCAGGAGCCACTGGAGTTTATTGTTTGATGAAGGAAAGGTTGACTATTGATAGTCAAACTTATGCCTTAGGAAAATCATTATGGCCTCTATTTGGGATTAGGCCTGATTCAAGACAGTCCCCCAGTAGCTGATATTTTAATTTTGGAAGTTGCCTATCATTTCCCACCAGCTAAGCATCAAAAAGCGCCTGGAGTTCCTCATGGCTGCTTTGTACTCAGGCAAGCAGGAAGTAAATGTTTAGTTCTCTTAATGAAGTGTAGAGGTTAGGGGTGCTGGGACCCTGAGATCATGACAAGTGGGTCCTGCCCAAAAGAATTCAACCCAAGCTTTCTTTCAGCCCAAAAACAAGGTTTATTGAAGATCCTCCATATTAGCCAGAGTCTTAAGGAATCTGAGCATCTGTGAGCTATTGGCTAGATAGTAAAAATCTGAGCAGTGGCTAGATTGTAAGAATCTGAGCATTGGCTAGATTTTAGGAATCTGAACATCTTAATGGAGACAAGATGAACCTTATATACAGAAAGACTGTGGGAGGGATCTAGGAGTGGCCAGGTAGTCTGTGAGGTAATAGAATTCCAGGGAAATGGAGCCTAGATAGGACCAAGGGTGGGAAGTGGCCTGGGGCCACTGGGAGGCAAGACAATGGAGGGCCAGGCTAAATCAAGGATAACAGAATTGGGGGATTGGGTGCAGCCAAAAGGAAAGGCCAATTGATGGAATTATGGCCTCAGGGGAATCAAGTGGGAGAATTCAAGGACAATCCAAGGGTTTTCTAGGGCCAGTAGACAAATGGGGCCCACATTAGGACAAAGGTCTCACTTTGGGCCCATACCCCTCACTCTCAGCCAACCACTTGGTCTCAAGGATGGTCCCAGTACCTTTAAAGGAAAAACTGGCCTAACTTGCATGGAGGAAGGGATTAGAATATTCCCCCTGCTACAGCAGTGGCATGGTCAATGTATGGAACAGTGAGAAGAAAGTGTCAAGGAGACTAATTTATAATTTAAGAAGCAACAATCATTACTTCTGAAAGAAAGCACTGATTTTAATTATTATCCCTATTAAATAAAAATAAAGTAGCAGAACAAGGATTACAATTTTCTGAATAAAGTAAAAAAAAATTAAAGTAAAGAGGCTGCCATTGTACTTCCTATGGGTGAGGATTCTTCCAAGTTAAATATTTTTTCCATTCCAAGTGCTATAAACTTTAACTTACTACAACTAAGTAGTGTGATCTGGTAGGCATTTCCCAAAAAACAGTTAATTTTTAATAATATTATATTAAAACTCAAAGTTATGCAACGCTTTGCAAAGAGCTTTATATACGTTATCTCCTTTGATTGCTATAATCATCTGAGGTAGATATGGTTACTATTCCCCCATGAGGAAAATGACAAGAAGATCTATTAATTCTCTAAGAATTCAAACTCAGTTCTTTCTGACTCTTGTCCATCCATTATATTCTACCACCTCTAAGTATTTGGTTATGATGTTGAGACTATTTTGAGAAAGAAATTTTCAAGTTTTAAGAATGTATATTTTGAAGGACCTTGCTGCTGATAAACCTCTTAGTTTTGTGAGGTTCTATGTTGTTTATCTAGCATATAATTGACAAAAGGCTTTTGTACTTCTCTTACAGGGAAATTAGGCCAGGAAGTCCAATAAATAAACCACATATAGTATCACAGATTCAGAGTTGAAATGGGCCTTAGAAACCATTTAGTCAAACTGTCTTTTTTTGTAGATGAGGAAACTGAGGCCTGAAGAGATTATATAATTTGCCCAATATCACACAGCCAGCACAGGGATTCCAACCTAAGGCTTTTGATTTCAAATATAGCACTTTTGCACTTTCCTCAGAAGCTATTGTAAAGAAAGAGCTTTCTATTTTCAGGGCAATATACTGCATCAGAGCTATGGGGTGCTAGTATCTGATTCACAGCCTTTAATGCTGGCAGACCTAAGTCATTTTTAAATTATGAGTGACCCCACAGTGAGTTTGGATAATGGTGCTCATTGAAGGAGAAAATACTTAGAAAACAGTAATCAAGTCAAGGTTTTTGGATTTACTTGTGCTGTAGGCCAGAAACGCACTTTAAAGAATAAATCTAAGCTTTACTGTCATCTACTAAAAGCTACAGAGAATATTGGATTTGTAATTTCTAGAGATCTTTGGGGACCTACATAAGAAATCTTTTCCTGTGTTCTCCCTGTCCACTCTTTCCCAGAAGACTTATGCTTATTGACATTTCTTATTATTGAACTGTTTTGTATATGAGCCTTTCATCTTCACATTTTTCTTCTTTTTCTTTTTTTCTTTCTGTCTAGTACACGGTGTGGACTGCCCTCTGGGTCACCTGGAATGTTTTCATTATCTGCTTTTATTTAGAAGTAGGCGGGCTGTCTAAGGTGGGTTGATCATACCTTTAACTTCGGGTGAAGAAAGTGCTTTGGCAAATGACAATTATGATTCATACAATTTTATTGCTGGCTCATTGATCTCAAAACCAAGAGAAAGACTAATCATCTTTAAAATAGATATTTGGCCCTTAAAAGGATCTGGTTTATGAGTCAAGTGTATATATTAGCTTGACTCATAGGGAAAATGTAAATAAATATACAATTGAAAGCACATTTGGACCATTATAATATATAGTTTTATTTTTGATTGTCATATGCTAAAGTGGGCAATTCAGTTCTCAACATATCCCTGTGTTGTGTTTTAAAAGGTATAATGCTGCAGTAGTTAGAATTCTAAATGGGGGCGTGCAAGATATATTTTAATATTCTTGGGATTGGAGCAACCAAAGGGATTGAGGAGGTTAATGCAATGGCATGATGAAAAACTGGCATCATTATTGGAATACTAATTCTGAAGAACTACATGAAAAAGGGTGATATCTTTCCACATTTGAATGGAGTATTCTATTACTTGCAACTAAAGGCTGTGGTGCAATGATTCATATTTCTCATTCTTGAACAGACAGAAGACAGTGTCTTAGATGAAGCCTTATACATGTTTTATTTCCAACCACACAAAAGTAAATGTTAGGATAGTTGAGAGGTTTCATTATAACTTTTGCAAAAATATTTTTGATTGCCACCCAAATGTAAAAGCAGATTGCATTGCATTTTTATTTACATGACTTGAGATGATTTTCCCCCCTTATACACCAGCACAATCTGTTACTGTGGAGCAGAACCTTAGCAGCATCATTAAAACAAGCAAATAATAGCTATTCTTTTTTTTTTTTTAGGTTTGTAAAGGCATAAAATTTGTAGGGGGGCAGACTATTTCTGCCAGCTACTCCAATTGTAAGGCAAATATAAAGGGGCTGACCTGTTCTGGCCTGATAGGTGAATTGTAGGGCTGCAGAACTTGTGAGAGAATACAGATATTAAAGAAAGAAGGGCACATGATAGGATGTTACATATAATAAATATATGTAGATTTATTGGGATTTGTTAAGCTAATTAGTTTGTTTAAGAGAGTTTTATCATGAGATCCAGTCCTTGAAGGGAATTGGACAGAATAGTGTAATGGATTCCTTCACCAACCCCCAGAACAAGTCAAATACCATATAGAAACAGAACAAAGAAGACATAATGCTAGAGATGCCCCAGGATCACATACAAATGCTCCCATGAGATAGCTGGAGCTTTTTTTGCTGTTTACATATACTCAAGGTAGATCATATTCTTCTGTGAAATCTTAGGTTATGATCCCACTTCTGCTACTACCATACACAGTTAGTTATATCTGAGTAAAGGTGTTCTTTTATTTTGAAGATGCCACTAAGTCATCTGAGGGACATAAGGTCCCTCCTGCAAGCATTTGTTGATAAGATCTGAGAAAAATGTATCCAAAAGCAGCCTACTGCCATTAGACTCTTTATAACAAAAGTACTAATGAAGTCCACTTTGTAAAGAGAACTCAGTAGAGTTAAGCTATGACAAACTTCCAGAGGATTTTCTTGAAAACCTTCAAAGGTGGCTCCCCTTTGTTCCATACTATAATAACTTTATAATTAGAACTGCTCACCATTTTCTTATGTTGTTAAATGCATTCAGGTACAACCATATACTATAGTTCTCACAATAAACTCAACAAATATTGAAGATTGTAAATAAGGTGGATTTTAGTGTGTATAAGAATGATTTTATTATTCCTTTTTAGATAATAGTTCCAAGGTCCTAGATAATATTTCCCATGAATTATGGTTGAAAACAATTTCTACCACACAGTTGCAGTAGAGATATAGGGGTGACATAATGTATGCCTATGTTGTGCTATGCCTTCTTTTTCTGTTACCCTATAAAAAAGTGGGCACTGGTCAGTGAGTGGGGGACCCATTTTGGGATTTGGGTACTGCATAGAGGAATGCATATAGCTGTCTTGCTTGGCTCCCTTCAAGCCTTGGGGGGAATCTGTGTTTGCCTCAACTGGCCCCCATTGAGGCTTAGGGGAATGAGATAGGAGTTACACTACTACTTTGTATATTCTCATCCACCTCTTCGAGAAGTGTGATTAGGGAATGCTGTAGGAGTTGGTGCTCCCTTTATCAGCAAACTCCCTATTGAGAAGACCAGACTAGAATAAAGTAAGCTTATTTAACCCCTTGGAAGCTGTCTTCTTATCTGACCAGATTAAAATTGAACCTGTGTTAGAACACCTTTTACTGTTAGGAGCCCTCCTGTGTTCTTCTGCCCAACAAATGGTGTTACTAAGCTGTTTACCTGTGAAACAAAGATAATATTCATTTTCTATTGTTAATATAAGTAAAACAATATAAGATAACATTTATCTGCCTACTATCTTAGACAAATTTTAAAGTCATTTGACAATTCAGATTTTCTGAATAAGAAGTCATACCTATAGAATTTAGACCCAGGACTTTTGGATTCGATTTGTGTTTTTCTGTTTTATCGTTTTAACTATCAATTTGAAGTAATATTTATCAGGCATTGGGCAATCACTTTTTATTCTTCCTGTATGTGCTAAGACTGGGAGGGATTTATAAAATGTGATCATGCATCTCTAAATATTAAGACTCACTCTGAAAGAAGAGTGTAAACTGACGAAATTTTGTTGGTCTTTAAATGACATCTTTAAATGACACTCCAGACTCATCTAAGATAAGGCGTGTAACTCGCTAAGAAGTGGCTTTCTGTCTCCCCAGAAGTTCTCTGGCTGATTTACTAACATCGTTCCTTACTCTACTTGTATAATTCCTCCTTTTCCAAGCCTGGCCTACATCATTTCCTCCTCCTCTTAGGAATGTGCATAGAGCAGGCAAGGAAACCAAAATTGAGCCTTCTTCCTTCCTTACATAGTCTAAATCTCTGTCAAATCCTCTAAACCCTCTTGAACATCAGTGATTATTCTCTGAACTGAGAAATTTAGGGACAGCAGGGTATTTGTGACTTTGTCGAAGGAAAATGCATTCAGTTCCCAAACCAGTAGTTGATTACAGAAGGCAGCACACATCTGTCTTTTTCTTTACAAATAACTATTTAAAACAAAGCAATCCTCCTCCCTCCCACCTCCAGCATTCTGTGGTTAAAGCTTAGTTTGTTTGTTTGTTTGTTTTTACTGTGGGTTACAATTTAACTATAATTAAACTTGATGAATGCTTACTTGTATATAATGTTTCCTATGTGCCAGACACTGTGCTAAGCACCTTACAATCATCATCTCTTTCCATCCTCACAACAACTCTAGGGAGGTAGATACAGTTAACTATTATCTCCATTTACAGAGGAGAAATCTGAAGCAGACAGAGGTTAAGTGACTGGTCCAGGGTCCCACAGCTAATAAGTGTTTTTGGCTGGATTTGAACTAAGGGCTTCCTGACTCAAGGCCCAGCACTGACCCATTTATCTGCCTCTTATGCAAATGCCTTCTTCCCCACAAAGCAATACTACCACAAGAATTTTTTTCTCACCTTGACCACTAAATCATGTTCAATGTGTATAGATTGGATGGAAAACTTGTATAGTAACCTATTTCTTCAAGTGTCTAGGGTTTGGGGCCCATTTAAGATTTTTTAAAGTTCAGATGGCAAACCTTAATCATCTCTTCTTGCTGATTTAAAAGACACTGGATTGATTCTATGTCAAGACTTGCCTTACCAACCTATGTTTTACATGCATCAGACAGTGCTTTAAAGAGGATGGGGCAAATACTCCAGTAATAACAAAAAAAATTCAAATATTACATTCCCCGATGGAGGGATGTCCTAGCTTAAAAGAAAAGAGAGTTAATCTATAAGGTTTTGTTTTACCTTTGGGATCTGTTTTTGGTTTGGTATGTGGTTATAGATGTGTTGAATGGACTAGAAAGTCACAATATTATGTTCTAAACAAAATAATCAAGAGATAATAATCTGTCTAATTCAAGGAGAATTAGGTAGTTCTTTTCCCCTATTTTCTATGCTGGGGAGAAACAGCATCATATGGCATTTGAAACAAAGTAGCAGCCATACCTAAATTCCTCTCAATTTCTTTCTCTTAAAGACATTTATCTCAGTCTGTACAGGGACTTAGAGAGATATGCCAAAGAGTCACATGGACCAGTGATACTAAGATCAACAGGCTTTTACTAGACACTTTTTAACTTACCTGAAAGGGAAATGCTTGTGAGTCAAGGCAACACTCAGGGACAGAAGCCCAGGATGGGAAAGGACTAGAAGGGAAAGATACAATCAGAGCAGACCCTGCCTTTCTGGTACAGTAGTACTTCCAAGAAGATTCTCTCTTTGGCCTCAATGCCCCCAGCTTTCATACTCTAGACCCTCCAAATCTGATCAGAAACATCTGGGATACTATCTCCTCCATTAAAGCAATAACTGCCATATGCAAACTCTCTCTCTCTCTCTCTCTCTCTCTCTCTCTCTCTGTCTGTCTGTCTCTCTGTCTCTGTCTCTCTCTGTCTCTCTCTGTCTCTCTCTGTCTCTCTCTGTCTCTCTCTCTCACACACACACACTCACTGGAGCCAGTATCCAGAACCACCAAAATTAAGGCATGAGCTACCATGATTCCTATACAAGGCTATTCCACACATTGGGGCAGGGCTGGCCTGGATCCAGGGGTTTGTTAAAGAGAGCAGGAGTCTTGCACATCCCCTACCACATTGGCATTTCACTTTTAGTGCTACAGATGAAGAGGCACAAATTATTAAAGTTGCATAGGAGATGGAAGCTTCTGGCTTTAGACACAAGAACTTCAAGAAAAGGGGGGAGTACTGGGAAGGAGAGGGAGGCAATCTGTAGTAGGGGAAGAAATTGTTGCAAGAACAGCTAGGCCCCAAAACCACAGCTTTCTTCACACTAATACAACAGCTATCCTTCTGCCTCATAATCTCCGGGTTGGAGAAACTTTATTAAATATTTTGGTTTAGAATACCTCCT